TACAGCACTGTTTCAGAAGTTTCCAAACTGCTAAAACTGGAATCATAGGCCCAACACAATATTTACCACTGGCCTACCGCAGCCAATCAGCTTCTGGCTGACGGGGCTGCAGCTAGCCGCAAGTTTCCAGCTTCAGAAACTTGTTAGGCTACTTCCGGATTTAGAATCTATCGCTGGAAAACGAAAGTAGAGTGTGTTTTATATGTGAGGTCAGGGAGGCGATCAACGAGTGTAATACAATGGCAACACGAAAGTTACTTTGTCACCGTTTAGTGTCGTGTACAACGACACGAAACATTTGCCGTGTGTGCTCTGTGCTTTTTGATAACTTCAATGGGCAAAAAATTGTTTTTGACAATCACCACAGCCAAGGCCAAAGTCACAACAAAACAAGCTTGTCGGTGGAGGCAGGGCTGAAACAGAAATCTCTTACTCGTCACAGTCCTCAGTATCAGCCTCAGTACAATACCCGACGACGATATCATCAAAGTGGAAGCTGCAGAACTTTGCCTACTCTAGCAGGACAAACAAATATTGATAAAAACCAGTATCATCTTTGTTTTGCTTACTCGTGCTTTCGCCCCAGAGCCAGAATATTTTCTTGTGCTAGCTCTAGTGACTCGTCACAGGGGTCTGTGGATAGAAATATTGGGGAAGAACAAAAACATGTAATTACTAAAGAAGAATTGGCACATGATCCTGATTTTAAAGAACTACTCAGTGACATCAGGAATGACTTTTCTGAGAAGCAACTCATGAATGAAGGGACAAGTAGTAGTAGTGACAGTGATGACTCGGCTGACCTTGATGTGAATTCTGGTGTTGGTACAGTCCGAGCTGGAAACAATGTGAAGGGTGATAACAATATTGCAGAGGACCTCCAGTTGTTGGAAGTAGTTGATAATGATCACGGGTATGACTATGAGGTGGCTAATGATATTGAAGAGTATGATTACAAGGATGAGAATGAACTGCATGCTCAACAAATCCGGGAAGACAAAGTTTTGAGCATCAGTCTACAACGTAAGATTTTTAGACGTTATCATGATTCATGTTGTTGACTATAGAAGTAGGCCTATTACATTTTAGAAACCCGGAATGTGGATATGTTCCTAATTGGGGGCTAAAGTTGTTTTTTTTTTATCTCTTGTCTTGCCCTAAGAAATTTCCTTTACGATTAACTGGTCTTAGACCTGCATGTTTGCCGACAATCGTCTGAAATCCGACAATCGCGAACTGGCCAATGCTATCGCTAGCTCCGCCTGTATCAGTCAATGTGCGTAGTGGGAGGCCTGGCCGACTGCCAGCGACCCCTTTTTCTCCCGTCGTTTTCGTGCCGACCGCCGACGCGCGCATCTCCGACTGCCGACGTCGGCGTTTTCCGACATAATTGTCGGAACCTAAGTAGAAATGCGAATACGAAAAAGAACGACAACCTAAATTATCTACTTTCAGTTTCGTGCTCGAGCGGCCATTTTGAATTTCGTTTGTCGACTAATTCAATTGTTCAGATCGTGTGGATTCATTCAAGTCCGACTCTCTTGTTCTAATAGAATCTAGATCTAGATCTAGATTTATATAGATCATTATAGACCTCAATGGAGGATTCATATTCCAATTCTATTGTGTCAAACCCTATCATAGGTTGTGCTGTAATATTAATATTGGTAAAAATAAGCATTTATTTATTTAGATTCTAGATCTAAATCTAGATATAGATCTGTTCGGAATCGGATGCGGGTTTCTAGTTTTCAAGGCCTATTCTTATTCACTTGTTCTACAAGATCTAGATCTAAATTTAGATTTATATTTAGATTACTAGATCTAATCTATATGATATGGAGGATTCATCATATTCCAATTCCATTTATTGTATCAAACCCTATAGCAATCATGTAGATGTAAGCCATAGATCTAGATCTAGAATCTAGATCTATATGCTCCTTGTTTGTTTTGGAGTGTGGTTTTTTAATTTTATTTTTTTTTAAATTTAGGACTTGTTTTGGCCTTTTTACACGAGGCCCGTTGCAGGTTCTTTTTGGGTGTAGGGTTAGGTCTCTTCTTTATTGTGTTTGTTGGGGTGGTCGCTCGTTACTCGGATGTTCTTCCTTATAACACCCACAAAGGTTTTTTTTGGGGGGAGGGGGGGGTTGCGCAAAATTTTCAGACAATCTGGTTGAGACTCACATGCAGGTCTATGGTCTCTTTGTCATGTTTTTCCCTCTCTTATTTCACATAGTATCACATACATAATACCTGTTTCCCTTCAATTGTGTTGAATTGGTTCATTATTTAGTTACAGTTTAGGACCCTTTTTGAACTCGGGTTGGTTGTTATTGATTTTAAACCTCAGTGAGCTAGCTATTTTAAATCTGCTTGAAAGAAATGTTGTAAGATTCTTTAGCCAGTGCCAGAGAGTGAGACTGACACTTCCTCTAAAGGCTCCTTTATGGTTTGAGGGATTTTAACGTAGGTACAGTAAAGAAAGTCCTCAAGGTTTGAAGGTGAGGCAGTCTTAACCACTAACACAATAGAATAGGCCCTACCCCCAGCTGACCTCTACTTCTTGTCTTGTCGTCTCTACTTAGGTTTTATACCTGAGGGGTGATTCAGATATTTATTCATTCATTCATTTTTCATTTAGCCCTACATTTCTGCATTTGCAGGTGGAGAAAATGGTGTGTTCGACTTGGATGAATTTTTGACCTTCTTGGATGACCTTGGCGCTGAAAATGTGGTCACCATACCCATACCGCCAGAAGCGAACTTTTGTGACCATATGGTCGTGGCATCAGCAAAGTCTATGCGGCATATGAAGGCTGTCCTTGAGGAGCTACTATGGGTGGTGTGTATTTTGAGTTGCTGTAGAACATGGGCAAAGATAAGGGAACTGCGGAGAAGAGTTGGCTATTTAGGTGAATTAAGAACAAAACTGGATAAATGTGGGTTTTTTTTAATAATCTATTCCATGCAGCTTGATAAAACCGAGCAATCAATGCCTAGCATTGTACTTTTTGTTTTTGGCTGATGTACTTTTGATCATAGAGGACTTGTCCAGTTTCACCTACTGGCATGTTGGTAACTTGTTAGCTTTTTCCTCTTTGCTCTTTGAGTCGTGGTTCCTCGAGTCTGCAGGACCTGTTCACTTGAGCTCCTTTGGGGCGACTCCTGTTCGATTTACTTTACACTTCTGGGTGCCTGGTGTGAATGTGAAGCAGTATGTTTTTTTAAAAAATGTTTTTGTTTTAGAAATCGTTTTGTAGCACTTGCAACACAGGTAGATATAAGTGCTGTTCAGGCTTAGAGGTGTTATAGAGAGTAACAAACAAAAAAAGGATGTGGATAGATAAGGAAGAAAAGTGTTATACAGGAAAAAAAAGAGTAAACCTCACCAGAGCACCCACCATCCTCCCACTAGTTGGGTTTATGGCCTTTTAGGCTAAGAATGTTTTTCATGTTTAAGTTGGTACACTTTTCAATCACTGCGAGATTACAGGAACTGGGAAAGAAAGACTGTTGTTGGGCCTATTGAAGGAGATTAAATCTACATGATGTATTAAGGTGGCTGTATACTGTATGTATAAATAAAGTTCAGTTTGACTCTCTTGTAACACTGTTACTGGCGTTGGTGAAATGTCACTACAAAAACATTCATTTCACAGTGTTTGTGAGGGGCTCGAAGTACATCTAAGGGAGGGTGGTGGTTTTGGGGGATTTAAAAAAAATTTGTAAGTGTGTTTTATGGCGCTCGCAACTGTGTACGGTCATATGAGGACGCGGGACACATTAAACATTTTCAGTTAGTAGGAAATGTTGAATTTTGCCAAGGTGACGGCCATAAATATAGTTTGTTAAGTATGGAAAGGTAAGGTATTTCTAAATCTGAATTATTTTTATTTTTTATTTTACTAAACTATTCAGTATTTTAATTTCTTTTTTCCAGATTATTTTGGTAATGTATGGCAAAAATATGTTTCTAAAATTTGAAATTGCTTACCTTCTATGGATGAATGCCAATTTTCAGCAAAAACCCCCGTCCTAAAGCCAGATGATATTGCAGTTAGTCACAGAAAAGTTAAGAGGGGTATGCGTCTTTTGTTTCATCATTATGTGGCTTCATCATGGGAAATTTTCATGGCAGTTTTCTTCCCACAAAGTCCCCATATCATTTGAAGTGCTATGACTTTTTACAGAAAGACCAAATTGCTTCCAAATGAAGTGCAAATTGCATAAAGATACTGAAGCTTTTCTTACGCCCAAAACTGTCATTTTAAAAAAGTTGTCACCTTCTGTTGGGTTTTCTCAGAGCATTTCCCATGTTATTATTTGCACTAGTATTGTTATGTGTTCAAAGCAAACAGTTAAAACACACAAATTTTCCCAAATTCTTTGAATTCTTTATTTTAAATAAACATTGGCACCTTGAACTTCAACTTATTACACAATGATAATGTGATAAAAGATTTTGCCCAAACATATTTGTGTGTTAGATAAATGTGCGTGTAGATTTAATAAAATGTATCTGTATTTGGTCTGTATAATTTCATGCAAACAGACTTGGACTGAACTGTTCTTCCCTAGAATACACGTTGCTGAAGAATTCAAACATTCAAAGAATGATCGCAAAAGATGCATATTTCACTTTCAAAAAAATTTGCTCTAGAAGGATGTCCCAATGTATTTGACACATCTGTATGCTTTTTTATCTGGTTTTCACAAATTATAATCTTCATAGTTGCATTAAGAATATTGAAGCCGAATAGGTTCTTTATGTATATTATATCAATTTTTTCCTCCCTTTGAACTCAGCACAAACGGAAAAAGTCGCCGGAGGATCCTCATCTGGTGATTGAAGGACTGGATGACAACTATTGGAGTGCAATGGACATTGGTATGTTCTTACCCAACAGACTTATATATATATATATATATATATATATATATATATATATATCAGTTTGATTAATATTCTTATTTTATTCTTTGTCGACTTTCTTTTTTTATTTTACTGTTTTTAGCCCATCAAACGGGTACTTTTGTATCCCATGTTATTTGCTTTTAAGGAACTAATACTGTAAAGAATTGTGTTTAAGGTATAGAATATTTTTCTTAATTTCAGGCAGTTTAGTGTTGACTTTTTTACCGATGCCAGTGTAATATCATGTTTATCCACAGTGTTCATTACCTGTTGATGTAATGATATTTAGTTTCTGAAAAGTACAGTCGAAATTGTCCCAAGATGGCCACCCATTGTTGTGCAAAAAAGCAGATGATGTCATGGACAGACTGATATCTTGGACAGTGTCATTATAATATATAGAGAAAAATTGCGAGGGGGAAATGGGACATTGTTGTTTGGACAGGTGTTTGTTAGAGCAGGTTCGACTGTAGCATCATTACCAGCCTAGTAAGTATCTTGACCATCCTCATGTTTTACTTTCCCAAGGTAACATTGTCTTGCATCTGTTCTTTGGCCATGCACGAGAATACTACGACATTGAGTCTTTGTGGCAACTGGGACCTGAGAATGACCCAAAAACACAAGAACAGAGCAAAGATCCATATGTACTCTCAGCAGGTAAATACTTGACGTTTTGTTGTAATTTTCATTAAAGGGATGCTTTAAAAAAAATCATATATGCTAAATGATCCCTGACAAATGCATCCACATTTTTAAAAGTTTCTTGAATAACGAGAAGAAATCTCTTCCATTTCTTTTGGAATAGAAGGCTAGGCATATATTTTAAAGCATATATGTTTTTTAGGGGTTTGAGATTTTAAAATGGTTTAATCTTTGCATGCATTTCTCTCTCCCTCTTTCTCCCCCCTCTCTCTCTCCCCCTCTCTCTCTCTCTCCCTCTCTCTCTTTCTCCCTGTTTCTCTCTGTCTCTCTTCTTCTCTCTTCCTCTTTCGCTCTCTCACTCAGATTTAGGTATGATGCACCTACACATAAATATAGACAAACTAGAAATTTACCCTTGGCTGGAGAATGTGGTTATTTCTAACTTTTCAGAGGATCTTTTCTGGCTGGAGACTGCCGATTCTGAAAGCAGTGCTGAGAGTGAACGAGAGAAGGGGGAGAAGACGAAGCCCACTGCTGACCCATCCAGTTTAGGTCAGAGGGTGTCGTCACAAACTTGGCCGAAAGGCATGGGAGAGACAGATGCAGGATGGAGTGTGGAGGAGCCTTCAAATTCCTCGTCAAAGTAAACTGCTGCCTTGATATTTGATTTTATGTCCTGATGCATTGTGTAGGCCTAGCTATATATGTGTGATGATAAGGTCTGACGGTTTGGTCCACTTGGTACACATTTCTTAATTTTAGTTCTTAGTACTGTTGAAAAGAGGATGAAATTCCCTTTCTTTCATTTGCCACCCATTTCTAAAGAATACAATGAAATTTAACGAAAGGACTGGTAGTTCAATTGGAAAGCTTCTCTACTGTCCTAGGCAAAATACAGAGATATTTATAATCAAAGATTTGACTTATATCTCCATAACGACAGATATCTCCCAATCAAGCTTGGTTCATTAAAAATTTGGCACTCATCTTTATCAATTTAGTGCCAATGCACACTCCAATTTTTAGATCATTTGCTTTAAGTTTTGTTTCTATAGCTTATTCACTTTTGTTTGACTGCATTAACCAAATTTTTACTAATTCAACTTACCTATGCCCACGAACCTGCCGTTCAGTCCCGGCATTGAAAAGAATAGGACTGACGTGGTGCTAGCGTGTCGTAGGAGGCGACTAAATGGCGAAACCAGGTAGTGACTCCCGAAACAGAGTCATCCTCCAGGTCGGGGGTTGAGTCACGAGGGTAACAACCTCTCTCGTAAAAAGAACTTGTTACAGAAACACAAACAAGCAAAAACCATTATCTCCTTGGCTGGTCGTGGATTTTCTCCGAATGTACAGTTTATGATGCGAGGCAGTGAAAGCCAAAAGGAAGCTGCTGGGCAGAAGCCTCCACCATCATCAAAGTAACATGGAGGAGATGTGTGGAAAGGGGCATGAGAGAGATGAAGCTCACTTGGAACGAGCTAGGAAGGATGGCCCAGGACAGATCAATGGAAGGAGCTTGTATGTGGCCTATACCCCTGCCAGGGGTGAAAGGCACTGATGATGATGCCCACAAAACTTTGCATGGCACTTCCGCTGGCCAGTGACCAAACAAAAATTTTGATTCAGTAATAATAAAGTTTTTCTCTTAAGGCTATATATATATATTAAAAACCGCTCCTTGGATGCATACACAAGACTACTAAAATAAATTACTTACAGATCCTTTTCATTATATTTTAACTCTTTCTATAACGATAGTGATTTTGGGTTCTGACCGCAGGTTGCAAGCAGTAAGCTAGAAAAATCTTGATGCTTCATTTTGATGCCTTATCTACAGGGTTATATGACAAAATGGTACAACATGTCATATATCAACGGAAAGGGAATTGATTGAACTTTTTATAGCAAAAGAGAAGAATGTCATAATGTAAGGGAGGTAAGCAATATGACAGAAGACAGGTGAAAGAAAATGGGGAGACAATTTTTTACAACTTATATTTGATGGACTCACCTCAACTTGTCAAGCTTGAAAACTGCTATAATCCAAATCAATTGTCGTATTATATGAAAATATATCCATTTTGCTGCACACCAGTTTTTGTTTGAAGTCTCTATGTCATTCCTTAGTCAAATAATCACAATTTGAAAAATGTCACCACACACACAAAAAAATCCCCCGAGCCCCTTCCCGCAGTAAATAAGATTTTACTGATTGTGGTACTTGTAGAAGCACCCCTTTGCACATAGATGTGGCTTATCAGAACACCCTGTGCAGTAGAAACTTGTTCTATTTCTGATCCCCAGTCCACTACAGAGAATGCACCTAACATCGGCTCCATCAAAGTCGATGAGGTGGACATTTCCCTGGTAGCGCTCAATTACATTTCCTCCATTGGCTGTTCCAGATTTTCTGGAAGGGGTAGTTACAAGGGGTGTGGGGGTAATACTTGCAGCAAGTGCCATGAGCTCATCTATCAAGCACTGCTTGAATGCCTTGAATGTGCATTTTTTGGTGGCATTAGGCCTGCTCAGAACAAACAAAATGTGGGCGTTGACTTGCGCTACTTCGAGGGGCCATGTAAAAAAAATTTTTCACCATTTTCTCGTTTTGCGATTGTGCATACTGTAATACGAAATCATCTGGTCGCCCCTTTCACAGCCATTCTTGTAGTTGTTATAATCCTGAATCATGAAGGGCTTTGATACCTGCCGACGTCCTTCCCTGATTTCTGTTGATCCAATGCGGCAATTCGTTGACACCACAATGCAGGGTTTTTTCGCTTTTTTGTCCTTCCATGTGACGCAGAGGATGCCCCTTTCCTCATGGTAGAAGTAATAATAATAATGGATTGCATTTATATAGCGCATATCCACTTATGCAATGCTCTATGCGCTTAACATGATACATATAATGGATTTACAAATCAATTTTAAAGATACATAGTGTTACATACTCATGCAAACACATATTCACTCACGCACGCACCACACACATATACATACTCACATACACACATACATACATATGCACATACGCACATACAAACTCACAACGATCTACAGCTTGGATGCATTCTGTCTAATCGAAATATGATGAAAATAGAAATGATTTTAGTTTCTTCTTAAAAATTTCTAGATTTTCTGCTTCTCTGATAGTTTTTGGAAGCCTATTCCAAACAAGTGGGGCAAAATATGAAAAAGAGCGTTGGCCATATGATTTGAAATTTATTTTAGGCTTAACAAGGGTTGTTTTGTCACTAGATGATCTGAGCGTTCTAGGAGGCACATAGGGTGTTAAAAGCTGTTTTAGATAGTCCGGTGATAAATCATTTAAGCACTTGTAGCAAATTAAACAGATTTTATATATGGTACGCTCTTTCACTGGGAGCCAGTGTAATGCTTTTAAAATAGGAGTCACATGATCATGCTTTAGTTTTTTAGTAATTATTTTGGCAGCAATATTTTGTACTCTTTGTAGTTGTTGTAACTGCTCCTCGAGGTGTTTGAGTTGAAGTGTCTTCAGTTGAGGAGGAAAGTCACATCTGTTCACATTCAGATTGTGCATCTCCTGATGAAGTGGGCGTATCCATGTTTGTGTTTACGTTTGAGACAAAACAGCACTGTCGTAGCAGATAGATTTTCCGCCCAAAGAAACCGCCAAACAACGCAAAGTGATGCTATCCAACATATTTTGCCACTGGAAATTCGTATTTTTGCAATACCATTTAATATAAAGTCAGTTTAAAATGAGAAACTGGTCTGCAACGAAACAATACTATGCTGACCGATGAGTCGGTCCTTGGCAAAAATGGCGATAAGCAGAAGACCAATGTATCGGCCGCTGGTATAGAATGAGTTAATGTTTACAGTACTTACGACCTCATTGTTTTACTTCCTGTGTTCAGGTGACCTAATTACGGTCTCGCTTTGTTTCGCTATTGTCCTTGTTTTCAATGAGTTCATTTTGAGTGTCTCAAATGTACATTCTTAATAATCATCTTCTTCCTCCTCATCCCCTATCTCGATTTTGTGGGTCTTCTGATTGTTGTATTTGAGTTTTCTGCACATCTTTTTGAAATGGTGCAGCTTTTTGCTGTAGTTCCATGTCCGGTGTCTTGCTGGGCGTTGCGAGAAAGGGTGAGGGGAGTTGCCGCAATTTGGACAGCATTTTTGTGGTTTTCTGAGATTGCTTGATTTAGGGGTGTCAGGTTGGACATGAAATTGTTCGGGTCTAGATCTGTGATTCTGTGGGGAAAATCTGGGCCTAGAACCACTGAAAGGTGCTTTTTCCGTGAGTTTGTAGACATTCACTTGAGGTTGGCTGGACATTGAGTTTAGTTAGTGCTTGGATGTTTCCAAAGAAGGAGCGATTTTGAGAGTGTCTTCTAAAGGAGGGTTGTCCTACTGGATGAGTCCTTCCTTGATCGATTGGTCGTTTGTTCCAAAAATAATTTGATCTCTGATCGGAGAGCTCTGACAAATTGGTCCGTTGACTCTCCTCTTTTTGCACTCTAGAATTAAACCTGTATCTGAGTGTTGTAATTCTCTTTTTGGGGGTGCAGTGGGTCCTAAATCGTGTAAACAGGTCCTCCACTGTCTGTTCCTCTTCTGGTATTTCCCAAGCTTTAAAAATGTCTCTCCCTTCTTGTCCAATGTTATAAGGAAGCATGTTTTGCTCCCACGATTCAGCAATGTGTAGATCTACATCGGGTTGAGTTTCATCAACTGCAGACTCAGTAAGTTGAGTACCATGCCCTCTTGGATCAGAAACAGGAAACCTTTCAACATTATCACTTGAACTTGAGTCAGATTCAATAACCACGATGGGCAAGTGCCACATTGAAATATGTAGATCTAGAATATCTACCTCTTTGCGCCATCAATTTGGCTATCCCCAACTACCAAATTGACCCGACTTGACCCAGCCTGATCGCGTATGTGGGCACCCCCTATTAGGCTTCCAGACTCGTGATCTTCGACCCGGTCTGACGTTGTGTCCTTGGGAAAGGCACTTTACATGAATTTCCCACTTGGCTCGGTCCTTTCAGAGATGGACGTTAAACTCGGAGGTCCCGCCTCTTTAAAAATCTAACAGTGTTGAAAGGGGCGTTAAACCTATACCATTTAACCATTTCAAGGTAGTGGTTTTTAAACATTGTCTTCATGTGTGATGTCTGTACAAATACAACTTTAATCATGCCATCCTGTGAGAAAATGCTGTAATGGGCGCCAGCATCCCGCTCCACCATATCTTCCAGCACTGCCCATTATTGCTCCTCCACAGATTTTTCACCTGCTTTGTCTTCAGCATCCCTTTTCTTTCAGGTTGTGTAGGTCCTTGCTTTTGATTTGTTTTCCTGCAGACCGCAACAGTGCAGCCGTGCTCTGACAAAAAACTCCTTTTCCTTGAAAACCCTGTTCTGAGATATTGATGATTTTATGTATTTTTCTAATATCTGAAGACTTTGAGCTTGGAGCGAGATGATTAAGGTGGCATTTTTTGTGAATGTTATTCTTAACCTTCAACAAAATTCTAGTTTGATTTTGTTCTCAAACAAATAAGTGAACAAGGAAATAGGCGTTCTTTGCTCTGGCATGAGTTTGCACAATTCGCTCACAATTTTCTCTTTCTTCCATTGTGGAAATCCACATGACGTCTTCTTTGTCTTAGGCTCATCCAACCCTCTGTCCATCTCTCTCCGAGTCTTTTTCATGATGAAGTCGTCTTCAATAGTACACATCGTCTTTGTGGGAACTTTTGAAGAAGCGAAGTTTTGAGTTCTTTCTGAATTTGGCCACTTGTATGTCTCTCATTTTTGGAATGCACTCCGTTTTTCCACCAGTAACTCGCTTGTCCCAGTTCTTGAAGTCCGTGACCTGCATTTTCAAAGTTTTTGGCCCTCCTCCTACTGTCTGAATGGTCGAAGTCAAGTCAGCGAAGTTGAAAACTTTGTCCTTCTTCCTCATGTTCTTTTCGACTAGACCGTGGAACGAGTCACATGAAAGGAATGTATGCCCTGTCTCCGGGTACTTCAGAGTAACTACGTCAAGCAGAGGGTAGGTATTGTTGTTCATAAAGGTACCATTTTTTATTTTGGCCAGAACAGTTGTCACGCCAGATAACTGTCTTTTCCGTCTTGTGCCATCTCACCGATGGCCTTCATGAAAGCAGAGGTGACATCAGTCGCTGGACAGCCAGATATTTCTTCGTGCCACAGTACAGCAATCACTTGCTTGGGGAACTTCTTCTTCTATTGTTTTCCCAACGGCGCGAAGGTCTCGTGGAATGCCACAAGTCTGTTAGTAAATGCACAGGTTTTTACCCCTGGCATGTAGGGCAACATGATGACTTTCTGCATGTCTGCGGATACATAGACTTCTGAGTATGGAGGTGTGTCTTTCCTTTTGTCAGTCTCGTAGTGTTCCCTGCTGATTCAGGGCCATTCTTTATGGGCCATGAATTCCTGACACTTCTCACACTCAGCGTCCAAGGAAGGTGGCTGGTGCTTGTGGTGTGAAAATTTCAGACAGGTTTTACCTGTCCCCACGATAATTTGCAAATTGCTACCCTAAAATTTGCCCAAATTTGCCTACAAAAATGCCCAAATTTGCCACAAAAATTGCCAAATTTGCCAAGAAATTTGCATTGAGAAAGCCATATAAACAATTGCTGCTTACCCCATTAAACAGACATATTGAAAAAGACTGACATTTTTGGGATTATTTTGAAAATTCATACATTCTTTTATTAAAAGAATATTAGAAAACTATTTACATAATCAATATACAACATCTTTACGCATGTATAGTTTATCCAGAAACATCCCAGTGGAACTGAAACTGAGGCTGGTGAACTGCTACATCATTCTAATAGTGTCCTATGCTGCGGAAACTTGGACAATGTACACAAATTTAGTCAACAAGATTGAGGCTCTGGAAATGTGGATCTTTCACAGACTTGGGAGAATCAGCTGGAAAGACAAAAATTACAAATGAAGCTGTGATGCAAAAACTTAAAGTGAAAAGAGAAGTACTACGGTACCAAAACTAAAGTCAGTAAAACTAACATACATCGGGCACACCGTGCGCCATGGCTCACTACCAAGGACAATTCTGACCGGTCAGATGAAGGGGAAGAGAGCTAGAGGCAGACAACGGAAGTT